ATCTATGAAATTTAACACAAACACAACATGCATTCACATTTTTTGCTAAATTAAACATGCAACCGCAATGCAGCACACTACTAATTCGAAACAATGACTTCTTCATAATGCCGTTTTTTTTACAGCATATACTAGTATACGACTTTAAATATCTCAAACTAAGTCAAATAAAAAATACAGTAAAAATACAGCACAGTAGTGATATTTTAGAATCAATGATACACTATGACAGTGTTTGTTGATGGTTTGAATTAGATTTTATATTTATATTTTCTGTTTTCACTTTAATTTTACATACATTTTTAGTAATTTTGGTGCTTTTTTATTATTCTATTTTTTTTTTTAATATGTCTTTATAGTTTTTATTAATTTATTATTTATACGTTTTAGTTATCTTAGCACTTCAAGTTAAAATAAATTCATGTTTATTTTATTTCAAGTAACAGATCCAGAAAAAAAAATATATATTTTTAAAAAAAGTTTTTAGTTTTAGTTAACTCTAATAACCTTGCCCAGTTCATTGTGTCCCGGTTATACACACTTGGGCAAATTCAGTAGGTAATTCAAATTCAAAGAACTTTATTGTCTATTATATGGTAACATAAATTTGTCTTCAGTTAAAAGCTCGCACACATCCATAAAAAGACATACATTACACATCATTACACAACTTTTTTGCCTTATTTAGAATGGATATTGCAGTGGAATAACATTCTGGTACTTCATATATATTGTGCATGATACACTGCATACTGCAAAATGAGCATGAGCAGTATGTCAAAAGAAAGACTTTTTTAAAGGGTGGAATGTGAATGACTCGTTAGGACAATTGCTTGTGCGGTTCCTCTGGGACTGAAATGTCATTGGGCTCTTTTTCTTCTTTACATGGGCAGGTGAATTTTGAATGTCACTAAACAGGAAACACATCAAAGTGAATCCTGTCTAATGAAGTGTCTAATGTCTTGTGGGAATTTGGTTACATTTCATGTTTGATCTTCAGTCATATGCAGTATGTGGAAAAAGAATTAGATGGTGTATATATATATATATATATATAGTTCAGAAATTAATTGACTGTCCATAGTAGAGTTTTTTATGATTTTATGAAATTTGGACTACCTATACTTCCCATCTTCCCATGATCATATTACTAGTCGAGATCTCAATCTGTCAGTCTATAATTATATTTGATGCTTTGAGTTCCGGCTGAATTTTAAAAACTCCAAAAGTCGGAAGAGTGTTTGAACTGTAATCAGATCATGGCTTTATTTCCTGTTCCATTAACTCCTTTGAATTGTGGAATTCCATTATTCAGAGAGATTGTGATCTGCTGACCTGATCTGCTGCTCTCCTGATTGACCTCTGCACCTCCTTTCCTCTTTTCCTCTGATCCTTTCATTCTTGTTTTCTCATTAGAGCCCTCGACCCGAGCAGGTTGGGATTGAACTGTGATGTGGATGTTCATGCAGTGATACTGCCGTACAGGGATTCGTTTAGGACACAAAGATGGCAAGTTAGCAGTTATACAGTTTAAGCTTGAATATCAAAGTGTTCTCACATAATGGTCGGGGGCAAATCTGTTAAATGATTCATGACGGGGTGGGGCGGTCTCCTGAGACTCTACTGAGTTGCAAATCTGCTCCAACTAAACTGACTGTAAAAACACAAGAAAATAAGGAAATATTAGATTGTAGTAGAAACAAACAAACAATTAAAGGAACATAAAAAGCAAGATAACTCAAACTTTTAAATTATGCAAAGAATTTACAAAGCCTTGTATAGTTAAAAAAAATTGTTTTTAAATGCTAATAAATTAATACACTCCATTAAAAAAATAAATAAATCATGCAAAAATAAAAATCTAGATAGCTAATATTATGATAATGCTATTAAAAAATGAAAACTAACTCCTTTAAAGCATGCAAAATAAAAAGTTTAAGATGGAAAAACATAAATAAAAATACTGATGTCATTAAAACATGCAAAAAAAACAAAACAATTAAAGCAACATCAAAGGAAAGAAAATTCAAACTTTCAAAACATGCAAAGAAGAATGAAAGAAAGACAAAAAATAGATTAAAAAAAATAGATAAAAGCATGCAAAAAAAGAGTAATATGTAAAAATGGTCACACTTTATTTTAAGGTTCAATTCTTGCAAACCAACCATTCACTATGACTTTTGCCTCAAAACTCTTAATTTGCTGCTTATTAATAGTTTGTAAGGTAGTTGTTAAGTTTAGGTATTGGGTCGGATTGGGGATGTAGAATATGGTCATGCAGAATATGTGCTTTATAAGTACTAATAAACAGTCAATACGGTAATAATAGGCATGCTAATAAGCAACTGCAATGAGAATTGGTCATTATACTAAAGTGTTACCGTAAATAAATAAATATAACATTAATGCCCTTAAAACATACAAATTGACATGTAAAATAAAAAATGTTCTTAATAAAACAGACAAAAAAGGAAATTAATACCTCCGAGGCCTGTGTAAAATAATGAAAATAATTATTTATTAATAATAAAAAATTATTAGTGACATTAGTTACAATGCAATTAGTGACAATGGAAAGAAAGTGGAGGTCTTAAAATAAGAGGTCATCGATTCAGACTGAAGCTTTTATAATTAATTGTTTGTGTGTGTGTGTTTGTGTGTGTGTGTTTAAAGTGGTTGACTGGCAGGCCTGAGTACATTCCCCAGTTGATTTAGTGTGGTTAAGATCAGATGGAATGCGTCAAAGCCAAAAGCTCCAGTTTAATCTCGCTGGCCTCCCCTTCCTCCGACAACTCAAGCTGACATCTGACTTGACAGTGGGAGTAAAAGAGAGAGAGATCCGGGGTGAACAAGAGTCAAACAGACAGGAAGAATGATAAGGTGATCTAGAAAAGATCAAAGGGGGTATCAAGAGACAAACAGATGCATTAAACAGCGACGAGACATTTAATGGTGTTCAGAAGCTTTTCTTTATTGGCCTGAAGATTTGAGTCACAGAATGTGTTTGTGTGTGTGTGTGTGTGTGTGTGTGTGTGGGCATGTATTTTATTTTTGTAAAAACCAAGATACAAAGCATGCACAATAGCTCCTTCCAAATTCACTCAAATAACCTCCAACTTATTCATCGAAATAAACTGAACTGCAAAAAAATCACCACTCTCCTTAAGTCACAGCAATCAAACAATGGCTGCCTCAAAACCTGCAGCACTTTTCAGCCTCATCTGTGAATTATACAGGTACATGTTCTGAACACACACACACAATGTCAACCTATTTGTAAGATTATTTTTGCTTAACGTTTGCATTATTTTCATGGTGACTGCGTACATTTCTCCCCTGTATTCTCAATACTGTACTACAAAAATATGGCATTCCCATTTCTTTCCCACAAATTTATTGTAGTTCCTTATTTTCAATTTTGTATTTTTGATGTACCGTTTTACCATTTCTGACTAATTTTGTAACATATTCTTAAGTTCTTTATAATAAACTGATGAATTGCACACAAACATGGTCACTTCACCCAAAACTGAATGATATTTTTCCTAAACCTATTTTTAAGACCATTTTTGGGACATTGTTGCTTTGTTTGCATTATTTTCATAACTATGTACATTTCTCCACAATACGAAAAAATCGTATTCCCATTTATTTCCCACAAATTGACTTTAGTTTTGATTATTCTCAATTTTTTATTTACTTTTTACTATTTCTGATCAATTTGGGAACATCAGTAAGTACTTTATAGTAAACTGATGAACCACACACAAACTTGTCACATTTCACCCCAAAATTGAATTATATTTTTTCAGAAATCAATTTAAACACATTTTTAAGAGCATTTTTGCGACATTTTTGCTTTGTGATTGTATTATTTTAATGACAATTGTGTACATTTCTTCACAATATTCTCAACACTGTATAACAAAAAAAATATTTTACCCATTAATTTCCCACGAATTTATTGAAATTACCATTATTCTCAATTCTGTATTATTTTATTTACTGAATCACAGTAAAAATGTTTTTTTTTTATTAATTTAAATTAGCATAAACTAAAGGTAGAACAAAAAGTACTATTCCAAATCTCAATGGTCCAAAAATAGGCTTCATTCAGTATATACTGCACATATGAAGCCTATGATATATGTGTGTGTGTTTGGGGGGATCGGGGTGAAATACGACCTGGACATGTTCTTGACAGGTTTCATGAGATTCACCCAAACATGTCATGGCCTCAGGATGTAAGAGCATGTGTGTGGATGTGTATTTGTGTGTAATACAATTGCATTGTAAAGAATAAAAGAAGAGCAACAGCATACAGATTCAACTCTTACAACACATTAAGACTTCAGCGAGACTCCCATGAAAACCTCTTTTTTAGCTGTCCTATATTAAAACTCGCGTCTTAAAATGTAACAAACCCCTTCCCATTAATTCCAGCTGCAGAAGCACAACTCAGAGAAGGTTAAGGGTGGATGGAACAGCCAAGAAGAAAATATCACTATAGAACAGCAAAAAACATCTTTCAATAAACAGATTTCACATCAGAGGGTCAGAGCTCTCGAAGACAGCAATCTGACCCACATGTGGTTAAACACAGCACGCTAAACACGCAGCTAAACGGCAAAGGATAAAAATAACGCTTTCCTCTACTGTATGTAAACATATTCATATACTTGTGCCATCTGTAATATTACCTTCCTGTTCAATGCTGAATGGCAAGTGTACAAAATGCATCTCTGGTCTGCATGCATCACGTACTATATGACATTTACACATGCCACATGAAGATGTTTCATATCAGTCCATTTGGGCACCTCATTTCCTCTCTTAATCTGCAGAAATAAAGCTTTGTGACAGCATAGGTCAATTCAAAGTGCACATGAGAAAAAGAAAATCACATAAAGGAAAAAAGCATAAAGGTGGAGCACTTGTGCTTCTTGCAAAAAAAAAGTAAAAACTGAATGCTTGGCTGCATAAAATAAATAGTTTTTTTATTATTATTATTTACTGTCGGCCCTGTTCAGAGCAACTCAACTAGAGTTAAGGTAATGATTTAAGCAAAACTGATGAAGTACCTATTTTATGCAACCAGGCACCCAAGTAACCTGACGGAGGTCTAGATGCATGTCATAAAGGTTGGGTTAGACTGTGAGGGAAATGAAGCTGTTATATCTCTGAATGTTCCTCTTGAGAATCTCAGAGCATGGCCCGAGGACGCGCTCGAAACGTGGCCGGTCCAGCTTCACGCACTTGAGCGGGCCTCTGGCCACGACTGTGGCTGCACGGGGTCTGTTCAATAGCAGCGCTATCTCACCTGAATAAATAAATAAAACACACACAGATTAGCTTAATGACCTGTTTCAAAGGGTACATAATATAGAAATCAATTTGGATTTTTTTCACTTTTTTCCCTTTGACATAAAATCGTTTTTACATACTCTAACATTCAAAACTCTAAATATCCTAGTGCATTCAGACCATTAATTACTACTAGGTTGAAAAAAATAATTCATAAATGCGTTATGGCATCAGGTCTGGTGTTCCTCAGGGCTCTGTTTTGGTACTGCTTAAACTTACATAATCAACAACACCTATTCAATACTTAGTAACCAGGCTTTCCTGATTTAATAAATGTGTGAACTTTGCCGCTACACTGATGTCAGCTGATCGTAGCAAAGGTTTATTTACATATAGAAGTCTTAAAGGTACAGTAGAAAAACAGTCAGTTTAATTCAGACAGATGGGAAAACAGATATGTTTTTGCACTGTTTTTGCAAGAACATTGAGTCGATATAATGACACAAATATGTGATTATGCCCCTTTTCAAAGTCTAGTTTAAAACATAAAAATTGTTATACAATAATATGTTATTTTACTAAATGTTAAGGATAAGGATAAATAAAAGGAGGGAGGCTGACAGGTCAGGGCTTCCCTACATCATAGTCATTTTACAGAAGTTGCAAAGACCAACAGTAGATAATCAACACAAAATAAAGCATGTTAAAATTGTAAAAATGTAAGCAAAACAATAATTATAATAAAGGATGTAAATGTTACATTTAAAAAAAAAATCTGAAACAGGGCAAAAATCATAAATAAGACAAAACCTTTTCAAAATAATTAAATATTATAATATTTAGTAGTAATTAATTTAATAATAATAATCATTATTATAAATAATATATTAATGTAAATAATATATAAATAAATTACACATTATTTTTTGCTCTGTTTGTGTAAGAACAGTAACTTTATAAGTTGATATAATGAAACAAATGCGAACATTATGACCCTTTAAAGAAAAAATTTGACAACAACAAAGTATTTAAAGACATTTAAACAGACATTTAAAGGTACTTTTAAATGTAATTTTTTCTATGCAAAGACAAATAAATTAAGCCATTTGAGCACCCAAACACTGCAACATTGACTCAACACAATGGTATGAGTTTGAGGCCAACCAATGGCAGATGGGGGAGTGTTTAGAAAACCTCTTTAAAACAATCACTATTTTTGCCATTCTGTTTGGTGACACTTGTGGTGCAGAAATGTCTCACTTCATCTTAAAGAGGTCATCTGTTAAAATTCACTGGCTTTGCTGTATGCTGATAACATAAACACACCGCTTTGAAATAATACAGTCATAATACAAAAAGCAGTGTCTCGCTATATAATGTAAATATTACTATATTCACTCTGTCGTGTGATAAGCTAAAGATCAGTGTGCCTGTGGTGCAGAATTGTAAACCGCACTGACGGTAAACAAGCGCACAGATCTACATTCTGCAAGCCCTGCACATGACGAACTGCCACCTGTTAGGAAAGCTACTCTTCCTGTCTGGCTCAGGCACTTCTGTTCTCTTATTTACAAGACTCTGGCACAACGCTGCAGGCTCTGTGATCCTCACAACACTTACCGAAGTAGTCAGACGGACCCAGGCGGCCCACTTCAACATATTCCTCATTATCAGACCTGCGCTGCAGAACAGACGCTATACCCTGGGAGGAGAAAGAGAAAGTGAGATGCAGGTTTAATGAGGAGGAAAACTACAAAAAGAGGAGAAAAAGGAGACAGAAAAGCCTAGCTCATGGTGTCGAGTTTGAGACACGTCAGAAGGATTAGTGAAAGAGAGATTCTTTGCTTTATATGCCTGCAGGTGTACAGGATTTAGACAACTCTGCATGCTGCTTCAGGGACTCGCAAGACACACACACACAAAGACACGTCATAGACTGACACACACACATACATACACGCACACCTGGGCCTGTCAGTGTTGAGATTTTTCAACAATTATAGAGTTCCACTGCATGCAGCGCCCCACACTGCAATGCAAAAACTCATTTAGAAAGATAAACAAGGAAACACACACACGTTCTATCACATTTGTCACATCAAGGACAAATGTATTACCCACAATACAACAGTAAAAGGAGGGAGGGCTCACAGGCCAAGGCTTTTCTATTCACAAAAGCAGTTAATCAATACAAAAAGAGTAAAACAATAATAAGAATAATGTACGTGGTGTAAATGTTAAAAAATAAAAGTAAAATCTGTAATTTAAGAGAAATTAAACAAATGTGCTTAATTAAAAAATATAATTAAATATAATAGTAATTAACAATAATAATAATTATTATTATTATAAATATATAAAAAATGTAAATACAATAAATAAACGTAAAACAGAAAAATCCGTAATATAGGAGAAATTAAATGTGCTTCAATAAAATAAATAATTAAAAACAATAGTATCTGGTAATACAGAATAACTATTACATTCATTATTATTATTAAATAATTTACTTAATAATATTTGTTATTATTATAAATATATTGAAAATGTAAAATAAAAAATAAAGACAAAACAAAAATCAGTCAAAAGAAAATAAAGAAAAATCAGTAATATGGGAGAAATTTAACAAACGTGCTTAAAGAAATTAAAAATAATAACTAAATATAATAGTACTTATCAATAATAAAAATAAAAATTTATGCTGTTAATCACGATTAAACTGTTGTGCTGCTTCATATTTTTTTGGAACCTGTGATACTTTTTTCAGGATTCTTTGATGAATAAAAAGTAAAAAAAGAAGAGCATTTATTTAAAATAGAAATCTTTTCTAACAATATACACTACAGTTCAAAACTTTGGGGTCAGTACATTTTTATTCTTTCTTTTTTTGAAAGAAATTAAAATTTTTATTCAGCAAGGATGTGTTAAATTGTAAAGAAGTGATAGCAAAGATTGATATTGTTAGAAAAGATTTATATTTTGATTAAATGCTGTTCTTTTTACCTTTTTATTCATCAAATAATCCTGAAAAAAAGTATTGCAGTTTCCAAAAAGATATTTGGCAGCACAGCCGTTGCCAACATTGATAATTCTAATAATAAATCAGCATATTAGTATGATTTCTGAAGGATCATGTGACACTTCATACTGGAGTAATGGCTGATGGAAATTCAGCTTTGCATCACAGAAATAAATTCTATTTTAAAGTATATTAAGATAGAAACCATTATTTTATATTGTAATAACATTTTGCAAGATTACTGTTTTTTTCTGTATTTTTGATCAAATAAATGCAGCCTTGATGAGCAGAAGAGACTTCTTAAAAAAACATTACAAGTCTTACTGATCCCAAACTTTTGATCGGTAGTGTACATGCATGTGTGTCTTTATATATGCATAATAAATACACACAGTACACGCACATATATTATTTAAACAAAAACTTTATTTTGGATGCGATTAATTGCGATTAATCGTTTGACAGCACTAATAAAAAATATTATTATTATTATTATTATTAAATATAAGACAATGAAATAAAACCAATTATTATTAATAAATTATTACTATTAAAATAAAATATATATATATATTTTTTAGTGTGACGTACAGTGGGTACGGAAAGTATTCAGACCCCTTTAAATTTTTCACTGTTTATACATCATCTAAATGAATAAATAAGCTGTCGATTGATGTATGGTTTGTTAGGATAGGACAATATTTGGCCGAGATACAACTATTTGAAGATCTGAGGGTGCAAAAAAATCTAAATATTGAGAAAATCGCCTTTAAAGTAGTCCAAATAAAGTCCTTAACAATTCTATTATTGCTCAGTATTTAGTAGAAGCACCCTTTTGATCTAATACAGCCATGAGTCTTTTTGGGAAAGATGCAACAAGTTTTTCACACCTGGATTTGGGGATCCTCTGCCATTCCTCCTTGCAGATCCTCTCCAGTTCTGTCAGGTTGAATGGTAAACGTTGGTGGACAGCCATTTTTAGGTCTCTCCAGAGATGCTCAATTGGGTTTAAGTCAGGGCTCTGGCTGGGCCATTCAAGAACAGTCACAGAGTTGTTGTGAAGCCACTCCTTCATTATTTTAGCTGTGTGCTTAGGGTCATTGTCTTGTTGGAAGGTAAACCTTCGGCCCAGTCTGAGGTCCTGAGCACTCTGGAGAAAGTTTTCGTCCAGGATATCCCTGTACTTGGCCGCATTCATCTTTCCCTCAATTCCAACCAGTCGTCCTGTCCCTGCAGCTGAAAAACACCCCCACAACATGATGCTGCCACCACCATGCTTCAATGTTGGGACTGTATTGGACAGGTGATGAGCAGTACCTGGTTTTCTCCACACATACCGCTTAGAATTAAGGCCAAAAAGTTCTATCTTGGCCTCATCCGACCAGAGAATCTTATTTCTCACCATCTTGGAGTCCTCCATGCGGGCTTTCATGTGTCTTGCACGGAGGAGAGGCTTCCGTCGGGCCACTCTGCCATAAAGCCCCAACTGGTGGAGGGCTGCAGGGATGGTTGACTTCTACAACTTTCTCCCATCTCCCGACTGCATCTCTGAAGCTCAGCCACAGTGATCTTTGGGTTCTTCTTTACCTCTCTCACCAAGGCTCTTCTCCCCCGATAGCTCAGTTTGGCCAGACGGCCAGCTCTAGGAAGGGTTCTGGTCATCCCAAACGTCTTCCATTTAAGGAATGGAGGCCACTGTGCTCTTGGGAACCTTAAGTGCAGCAGAAATTTGTTTTGTAACCTTGGCCAGATCTGTGCCTTGCCACAATTCTGTCTCTGAGCTCTTCAGGCAGTTCCTTTGACCTCATAATTCTCATTTGCTCTGACATGCACTGTGAGCTGTAAGGTCTTATATAGACAGGTGTGTGGCTTTCCAAGTCCAATCAGTATAATCAAACACAGCTGGACTCAAATGAAGGTGTAGAACCATCTCAAGGATGATCAGAAGAAATGGACAGCACCTGAGTTAAATATATGAGTGTCACAGCAAAGGGTCTGAATACTTAGGACCATGTGATATTTCAGTTTTTCTTTTTTAATAAATCTGCAAAAATGTCAACAATTCTGTGTTTTTCTGTCAATATGGGGTGCTGTGTGTACATTAATGAGGGAAAAAAAATAACTTAAATGATTTTAGCAAATGGCTGCAATATAACAGAGTGAAAAATTTAAGGGGGTCTGAATACTTTCCGTACCCACTGTATATAACCCTGGACCACAAAACCAGTCATAAAGGTCAATTTTTTTAAATTGAGGTTTATACATCATCTAAATGAATAAATAAGCTGTCGATTGATGTATGGTTTGTTAGGATAGGACAATATTTGGCCGAGATACAACTATTTGAAGATCTGAGGGTGCAAAAAAATCTAAATATTGAGAAAATCGCCTTTAAAGTAGTCCAAATAAAGTCCTTAACAATTCTATTACTCATCAAAAATTAAGTTTTGATATATTTACGGTAGGAAATGTACAAAAATATCGTTATTGGAACATGATCTTTAATATGCTAATGATTTTTGGCATGAAAGAAAAATTGATCATTTTGACCCATACAATGTTTTCTTGGCTATATTGCTACAAATATACCCCAGCGACTTAAGACTGGTTTTGTGCTCCAGGGTCACATATTATTAACTATCTATTTATAAACCAGTGCTAGTTGGTGAATTACTGAAATAGCACCTGTCAAAGTATTCCACAACAGATTACTGTCCACTGACCAGTGCTGTAACTGGTAGTACTATTGGATCTTCTCGACATGTAATTAGAATAATATAAAGTCCTTATGTTAAAACCTCTAGATAAAACAGACAAAAATTAAATAAGAGGGAAGAAAATGCTAGACTAAATAAATAAAAAAATTGTAATCTGAATATAACCACAACACTGTTTTAAAAAGTGCAGTTCCAAAGTAACAGGGTTGACATGAAAAATACAGATTATTTCTTTACCCTCCAGACTGTGTGTAAACTGGTATCTTGTGAGCAAATGTGGGGGTTGGTAGCAGGTTAAGAGGTCATCTACAGACTCTTTTGCCACGTCACTCAGGACTTTGCACATCAACAGCAACAATTTGTATCCTATTTGTAATTTAGATGAAGAGAAAAAACGTGGACTAGTTTTTACGATTAAGTGGCATTGCATATGTGAGCAAAGCAGTTCTACAGTTACTGCTGATGTGGTTTTCAAACAACAGCCCAGTTAGATTAAAGATTAAAGCTATTCCATAAACATCTAATAAAAAAATACCAAGGAACTTACTTATCCAATTTTGATTAGATTTCATGTCCTTATTAGTGGTAATCAACGTAATGCACACAAATTGTTACCAAGAGAGAGCACATACAGTGAGAAGAGGCCCAACGCTTGATGGACGCCAGAAAGCTGTTTGTTCTCAATGGAGTTGTTGTCTACACTCAAACTGTTAGTGGACACTGACATATGATTTGAAACAGCGTTGCTGAAGACTAAAACAGCGCTTGTCAAAGTAGTCAATAACATATCACTGTCCACTGCCCATGGCTTTATCTCACTTGTAGCACTACTGGATCTCTTTGCAGCTTTCAGCACACAGTTGACCCCATCGACCTTAACATCCTGCTAGGAAGACTTGAAAATCGCGGGTCAAGTATGAAAATTAAGGGTCAAGGATAGTGTCCATCAAAGCTGTGCCTTG